CCCCAAAACCCCAAAACCCCAAAACCCCAAAACCCCAAAACCCCAAAACCCCGAACCAAGGTATAAAAGTTGAACGTCTTTAATACGATTTCAATTAAAATTAACTTAAAATATAATCTTTCTTTATTACACTCCTAAATAACTTTAACAAGTGATCTCATGAGATGCCGGGCATAAACAGCCTAAAGATCCGAATTTATAAGAAGATACAATTATTAAAAACTTATTTATTGCATGAGTAAGGGAATCCCTTTAAATATCGGTAATGAAGTCTGATATTTCTCTGGAGTTGTACTCAGGAAGAGCATTAGAGGATTCTTGCTCAGATTCTTCCCCTTCTCATAATTCATCTTCTTCCATACGGTATTCTCCTTCTCCAAATTCGTATTCTTTCTCTTCTTCTTCATCATAATCTTCTATCTCGTCGTCATTTGCAACATCTTCTTGGTCTCCTTCACCTATTAAGACAGTTAGATATTGTCAGTTTTGGATCTATGAAGACAAGAAGGAATCACTTGAAAAAGTTTTTACTAAACTAAGCACAAACCAGGACTGCCGTCACTCTTAAGATTTTATCAACACAAAGCCCAGGAATAAATATGTTTCCCAAAAAGATCTTGAAATCCCACCTTTATCTCCATTAAGCATGACCAAATCTCTAATTTTCTCTAAATCCTTGGCAATTTCGTTAATATCCTTCTTCACGACCTTAGTCTTCTTCTTTATCTGGAACTCTTCAGAGTCATCATCGATCTTGTCGGTGTATTCACCGCCTATAGTACAAGAGTTAATATTGCCAAAACTTGAGTTAGACTTGGAGCTAAAAGATATCTCCAAGAAAAAGGTACTAGTAATGTTCTTACCAAATTCTTCAAGGTGGAGGTTCTTGATGTCCTTTCCAAACTCAGTGTCGTCCTCGAAGGATATACCGTGAGCGGGGTTGAAGTTGATAATATCTATACGAGATAAGGTTAGATCAGTGATGATGAGAGTTAGGGATCAAGTCGAGGTGCTATAGGATTTCAAACTCCTATTCTGACCCTAATATGATAACTCAAAGCTTATGAGGAGAGATTATGGGTTGTACTTCTTGTCAATATGCTAAGTGCTGCTTTTTATACAAGCTGCTTTGGGTTAAATTAAATTTTATTCCTGGCAAGAACTGTTACTAATCATAGTTCATATGTCATCCGGAATCTTATTTTAATTTATTTTACTTTGCGTCCAATGCGCGTTCATAAATTATGAAACCTTACTCTTTAAGTTGTTGGTATTTGGATGGTCTCAGATGGCAGAGATGTTGGAGAAAACTTCAGACTTATCCAATATGTGATGAAAGTAACCTTCTTCCTTGACTTCTTCAACTTCAATGCACTTCTCAGTTTTCTTTATACTGGAAGACTTTTTCTCAACCTTCTTATAGTCTTCTGGATTAATTTCTTGCTTCAGAGATTTCTTTTTCTGAAGCTTTTGAGGAGCATCGTTGTAGGAAAATTCTATATCAGCCATTAGAATCAGAAAATCCAAAAAGAACTTTTGTAGACAACTCTTCAAATCTATTTCCAACTTACCTTTCTCAGTGCCTTTAGATTGTTGAATGAAGGAATGACTAAAAATTCTGTCAACTGGAGTATCAGATTCATTATATTCAGACTCAGATTCTGAATCCGTATCAGAGCTTTCACCTTCATCACTCTCAAGCACATATCGGTATTCAGTATCCTCCCCAATGACTATCTTCGAGGTGGTCTTGCTGTCAATGGAGGTGTCTGCCCCTTTTCCATACTTAAGAGCATCTCTGTATTTCTTTGATCTCTCTATTTTCTCAAGCCTTCGACCCAAATATGCGTCAAGTTCATTAGCTTCAGGGTCAGAGTCTAGGTAATCATGGGAATCTATAAACGAATCAGTATAAAACCGAAAGACTCCAGTTGGGATGGCTTACCGTAGTCCAAGTTAGGGTACAGATTCTTCAGGTTTGATTGCTCCTTCTTTAACATGTCCTCGATCAGAGAAGATCTATGAAATCGTAAGTAAAACTATTGTTGACATTTGAGGGTACAGGTTCATATTTACGAAGAAAGGATTAAAATGTTCCAGCAATACAATCAAATAGCTAAAACCCTAATTGAGAGAGAATTTATGAGCAATATTAACTTTATGTAGAGTTTGCCGTATAATATACGATTCATTTTAGACTGAAAATAAATAAAACTTGTCTGAAACAAGAACTTACTTCATTGCTTGCACTTTGCTCCAAATAGATGCCTGACTACTCACTGGTTTGTTTTTATCTCCTTTGCTTCTATTTTAAGTTAGAAAAGTTCTGTCAATACTAAACTCTGATTGGAAAACAGGAAAGAATAAAGTTGAAATACATGATGTATTTATCCAAAATTTATAATTTAGCTTACTCTTCTTGAGAATTAGGGAGATTTGTGCTCTGAGTTTTCTTGAAATTCACTATAAAGCTGTTAAATCGAGTCCGATGCGCAATCACTTTAAATAAACAAGAAGATAAGTCTTCTTTTAAGGTTTCGAATGTTTAGAAATATATGGCTAACCTACCTCTAGAGTTATCTATTTTGGACGATCCCGGAGATAAGTTTTTCATCATGTTGAATCAAGCAAATTTATCAAGATCCCCCTTTTTAGAGAAGATTGAGTTTAGTTTCGTAAACAGTAACTCAGCCTTGAGTTTATTTTTCCTCATCATTGACAAAGCCATTAACCATATTGTTGTAAAGCTTGTTGAAAGCTTTCTTCATCTTCTTCCTAGTGATCCTAGTTAGAATTCTAAGAGCCTGACTCATCGGCTTTTGCTCTTCATTCTCAGGAATTCCAATATCACTAACATCCACAGTATTATTATTTTCAGGGTCTCTAAAATGCCTCCTTGTAATCTTCAGATGCTTTCTTCCCAAAGCAAGGGGAGCGTTATTCCCAAATTTATCAAAGAAAGACTTTTGGTCCTCCTCAGACATAGGAGGGATCAAGATATAGGTCATATCAGAATCTTGTTTTTGAAGGTTTTCAACAAGAATCTTATAAGCAGTCATAATAGATAAATCCTTTCCATCCTTATCTACAGCATTCATCAGCTGAATGAATCATTCCTTCTCTAAAGGTGAAATTAGTAACAGCTCCTAAGAAGAAATCCTAACTATTTTCGGGAAGTATCAGAACCGGCCTAACTTCACTTCCTCTATTTTCAAACCAAATTAAGGGTCTTAAAGGAAGATCTATGAGACAACTAAGCTTTAGGGATATTACTGCGCTCAACATTAATTAGTAAAGCGGGATCCTTCGAATAATGTAGTCTCTTAATAAATCTTGTTATTTGAAGTACTCATATCCAGCTTATCTCATAAATATCTAAATAATCTTTACCTATAGAGCTTTCTAAAACAGCTTAAATTTACCTTTAAAAATCTTTATTAACTACCAAAAATCGCTTATTTTTTACTAAAAACTCATTTTCACCCCACATCTTTCCCTAACAAATAAAATCAATGCATCCACCACAATCCCCCAAACCAGCTCAGGACCCATTCCATCCATTAGGCTGGCAGCAGAAAACCAACCAATACCATAGACCATCTATCTCTAAAACCCAGCAATGCCAAAAAACCCTCTGAGACCTTGCACCCAATCAACTTTAAAATTTAATCGAATCTCGCTGTAAGAATGGAACAGAATGCAGAGGCTCACAGATTTGACTTAGCCTAAATAAGTTTTAACAATCTAGGCTAAGCCAAGTGTCTGATCTGTATGCAATAGACTAAGAAAACACACTCTTAAAATGATTAACAACACTTCCTTCCCACTGTTTCTCATAAGACTAAAAGTTAGCCTAGCCAAACTATCTGGGATGAAGAATAATAGGGGATGGGTAAGAGGCAGGGTTTGAGAAGTGACACTAGGAAGGAAAGTATCTTAAGAAAATGTTTCCTTGGCAATAATAGTTATGATAACAAGTAGGGTCCTCTATCGGTATAAAAAGGAACCACGCTTTACACCGGTATCCAAAGGTAACCATACAAAGTAAGAAGAGGGAGAAAAGGTCGGAAAGTTATTAGATTCAAATATTTTAAATCCAAGCATAGTTTACCACCCTTAATGAAAGTTAAGCTAGTTTTCATAGCATCGGAACAGATTTAGAAACTCATATATAGTTTTAAATTCCCCATTTTTAAGTGTTTTACAAAACGCTGTTTCAAAATAAAAAGAACGAACCCCAAAACTTACTGTGATTATAGAGTGGGAACAAAATATCAGTACTGAGGTACTGAATGTATCTAATGACATAGGCTATCTCATTATTGATCTTAAACTTCTGCACTCTATACAGCCTAATCTTGTGTTGAAAGATCTTCGTAATCTGATTCCTATTGATTGTTTTGTCATTGTTTCATTTCCTATAAAGATATGAGTCATTCAAATTTTAAGCACGCTGCAAGACCCTCCTAGAGATCAGATAATAATGGGCTAGTTAATTTCCTCAAACTTCACCGGAATTTGGAAGAGAAAACACAAAAGGATATAGACTAAGGAGTGAATAGCCATATACTATCAATCCCAACAGCTTTTATTACCTGAACAAATTCACCAGGCGGGTTACAAAATTTGTCTTCTTTTTGTGTCTTTTAACGACAACTTTGTTACGGCCGAATTTTCTGCCGTTCCTATTGTTCATCTGTGTAATAACCCTCTGAGGATTTTCTCTGGTTGACATATCACTCTTTTCCATACTATTTTAATTTTATAAATAATAATTTGGGGTTTTGGGGTTTTGGGGTTTTGGGGTTTTGGGG